GCCAGGGGTCAGGCTGCTGGGTTCCAATCCTTCTCTCCCTTTGCTGACGGGTGACCTTGAGCAGGGACCTGGCCACTCGAGCCTTATCAGTAAAGTGGGGAGACCCTGAAAGCCTACAGCATGTACCGGGGTGCTCCTGGTGGGGCCTTCCCACAGGGGGACCCTGCAGAGGCACTGTCGATCCACAAACCAGTCACCCCAAAATCCACAGAGCTGTGTCCAACTCAGAAAAAAGTCCCAGGAGGTGAGGAATGACATGGATCACATAGTGGTCCATCCGCAGCCCCACACTTCCAGGATGGACCCCCAAACCCGGGGGCTCCTCTACAAGAACCTTGGGGCGGGAGGTGGCAGCTGCCCTGGGAGCACCACCTCAGCAGCAGGGACTCAGGGCTCCTCTCAGGGCCCCCAAGCTGAGCTCTCTGACCTCCAGGCGCAGGGCTGCCTGGCTGCTTGAGGGGATGGAAGGAGAAGAGGTGACCCTACATCCAGCAGTGAGCCAGGCACTGATGCCCCAAGTCCAGCCACAGGAAGCCCTGCCCCCGAGTTTGACGCAGGGTGAGGTTTGCTGCAGACCCTCCCTGAGTGTGGTGCACCCGATTCCCCTAAATAACCCACGTTTCATCTCCACAATGTACATTGTTAGGACTCTTCCTTCAGTTTCAAATACGTATAATTGCTTCTGGTGCCAGTAAAAGGTATTAATTCCACTTATGCATTCCATAAACTTTTAGGATAACGCAATTGATACCGCGATCGTGTTGGGACACCTCCACTATTATTTTCCTGCTTGCAAACCTCCAAGGGGCTGGAAAGTTTTCTCCCAAATCCATTAGTGTTGACTCAGCCCTGTTCTACCCAGGAATCCCATGAAGGGCCTTTGTGTTTCCTGGCCCCCCACCATGTGCTTCTAGGGGGTGGGACAGGAGGGGCATCACTTGACCCTCGTGGGCCAGCTAGCTCCCAAGACAGACCGATGGACACACTCCCCACTGAATCTGGGGGCAGCTGGAGGTCACTGAGGGGCTCTGTCCAGAGGCCCCCCAGGGGCCGGCTGTGGCCTCACACCCCCGCATACCTGCACTGTCTCCCCTCATGGCAGCCTGGCCTGTGGGCCATCGGCGGTGCCACCCAGTCTGCCCAAGGCGACCACAGACACACAGCCGGGCCAGGGCTCTGGCCACAGCAAGTCACCCTTCTGCCCTCGGAACCCCCTTCCCAAACCTCCAGAACACCGAGGACTGCCCTTCCCTGGCTCCCAGGTTCAGCCTGCTGCTGCTCTCTGCTTCCTGGGACTCTTGGCACCAGCTGTCCCCACACTGACAATGCGGGGCGGGGGGTCCCCGGAGTGGGAGTGGCCATCTGGTGGTCAACAGAGGGCGACCTGCCATGTCCTGGGGAGGGTGTGGAACAGGGACCTGGGGACTTGGCAACTCCATCCCCAGCCTGGCTCCACCCACCCACCAGCCCAAAGAGCATCAGTATGCCCAAGGACAACAGCCTCACTCACACCTGTGAGCTCTCATGGTGCCTGTCTCTCTCCAAAGTGCAGAAGGGCCCCAAAATGGACAAGCCACAGCCAGGACACTCACTGGCAGGGGGTTACAGAACCTCCTGTGATAGTGTCCTGACTGGCCACGTGCCCACCTGGCCTTGGCCCTGCCCCTTGTTCACAGTCTCAGGAAGAGCCCAGGCCCCTCCTCTGGCTGCTTAGTTACCTGCCACCCACCTGCTTCCGGTTCCTGTAGGAGGGGAGGGGCTGTCAGAACCCTGGGCAGCAGCCAGGAGGTGCCGGGACACGTGTGTGTGTGTAAGAACATATCTGCATGTCTGCACATGTGCTCCCATGTGTGGACAGTATCTGCATGTGTGAATGTGCACACATGTACTGTGGTGTGCATGTGTGTTGTGTGTGTCTGTGTGCATGTGTTCACACGCATGTGCATGTCTGCATGTGTGTGCTGTGTGTGCGTGTCTGCACACATGTTCGTGTTTGTGCATGATGTCTGAGTGTTGCATGCACGCGTATTTGCACACATCCTATGAGCTGAGGGCTCCAGGCCCCTCTGTGCTCTCGGTGTGGGTATGAGACCTGAAGTCTGAGGGACACAGGTCAGAGCAGATGAAGCATCCAGGGCTGTCGGACTCAGAGCGGGCATTGGCCAAGCAGAAGCCAAAGACCCCATTAACAGCTGCAGCTGCGTGGGGGCTGGTGAGGGGGTTTTTCCTGAGCAGGGAGAGGAGTGAAAGCAGCAGTCAATCTGGAATTGCACTTGAGAAAAATATGAATTATCTATCAGTTACCAGCGGGCTAGTGTAGGGGGCAGCGGGCGGCACAGCGAAGGCCAGGATGGCAAGCCCGAGCGGCAAGTCTGGGCAGTGCCTGTACAGCCAGGGCCCCAGAGCCGTGAGCAGGCAGGATGCTTGGTGGTCTCTGCCCTCACCAGGAGCTGGCCGCCCACCTGCCCCCTCCCTGGGCAAGGAGGAGAGCCTATGGGGATGGGGTCCGCTCCCAGAAACGAAGTGCCAAAAATCTCATTATCAATGTTTGTCCCATCTCTACCCTGGCATGGAGAGGGGCCGGAGAGGGGGATTTGTGAGTACCACCCTCCTCCACTCAGGTCCATGAGCCATGGCGAAGGGTGAGGGGGGGTGCGGGTAGGAGAGGAGGGAGGGAGGTATCCACTGCTTGGGCACTGGGGGGTGAGAGGGGCTGGAGGTTGGAGGCAGAGCCGCTGGGACAAGCGAGGCTTCCTCTGCCCCCTGGACAGACCACACCTTGCGACCACTTAGGGCCAGCACAACTGTGACCAAGTCATGAGCCCCTCCAGCCCTGAGGTCACACACCTGGCAGGGGACGGTAGAGGCAACCAGGCACCAAGGAGCAGCGCCCATCCCTCCCCGAGGACCAGCTCAGACCATTCCAGGTGCTCCAAGACCCCAAGATGCGACAGATCCCACCAGCATCCTCAAACAGTGAAAAGGAAGGGAGCCAGTCCACCCACAAGCTGCCCATCAGGACTCCTAAGAACCAGCAACTTGGACCCTGATGACAGAATGTCAGTGAAGAAGGACCGGGATCCTTCTGCTTAGAAGAGAGAGAAAGGGCTTAAGAAGCAAGTGGGAACTTGGAATAAGAGCGGTAGTGAGCCTCCTGTTGCTTGAGGGTGTGCAAGTGCAGTGATGTCTTGAGGACCAGACCTCACAGCAGGGGTGTGGGGAGCAGGACCCCACAGGCAATAAAGAATCCCTGGCAGGTGCAGCTTCAGGTAACCAACTTTGTCCAGGAGGACCAGGCTCCATGGCACCCCCATCATCCAAGGAAATAATAAAGACATGCCAGCACTAAGCCCCATGCAGCATAGGCACCATCCCATTTAAGCCTTATCATCTTCACCAGTAGAGCAAAGGAATGAAAATTTGCAGATGAGGCCATCCGGGCACCAACAGGACCAGGTGCACCCTTGGCCACTGCAAGCCCTGGAGTCAGTCTGAGCCTTGACTCAGCAATGGGTCAGCATCTGGGGTAGCCCACTGCTTAAGCAAGAACTCAGAAATAGCTGTAGGGGGCCGCCCAGGCTGCCTTTTGCTCCACCCCATCTCTGGTCCCCCAGAGTGTGGGAAAACCACAGTCTGGGCGGTGGGCACTGGGGACAGTGGGAACCAGTTCTTAAAGTGGCAGAACCTTAGTGTCACCTTCTCAGCACTCCCATGGGGGCTGGAACCAGCCCCCCGGCATAGTCCAGCCTCCTCTGCTCCAGGGTCCTTTGCCAGGGGCTACGAGTGAGTATGGAGCTGCTGTTCCCGGAGAAAGTGATGTGGCCCCATGCCCTTTCCTGCCCCATGCCCTGTGTACCCAGTGCTCAGAGGTGAGCTGCTAGTGTATCCAGGGGTCTCGGAGTCTCTACAGCCTTTACTTTGCCCCAGTGGGGACATCAGGCAGCCTGTTTCTCTCCCAGCCACGGTAGGGACAGTGCAGTTCCCATGCCAGCACCACCCTGCCCTGGCATCTGCATAACTCTGAGAAGGTGGTCTAGACTATCCTGCGTGTGTGATAAGTCGCTTCAGTCGAGTTTGACTCTTTGCCACCCTGTGGACTGTAGCCCACCAGGCTTCTCTGTCCATGGGATTCTCCAGGCAAGAATACTGGGGTGAGTTGCCATGCCCTCCTCCAGGGAATCTTCTCAACCCAGGGATCGAACTTACATCTTGGGTTTCCTGCACTGACAGGTGGGTTCTTTACCACTAGCGCCACCTGGGAAGCCCAGTCCTGGACTACAAATGGGTCAGTAACAAATTCTACCTTCTGGATTGTAGGCAGTTTCAAGGGTTAACATAAACTCAAAGAACTTTGGGCAATAGCAATTCACAATAGCAATTCTGGGGAGCAGCAACCGTGGGTGTGTGGGATGTTCTCAAAGTTGGCAAAATCTCGATGGTGGCGGGTGGGAGCACTCAGATGTTCCCAAGGGAACGGCAGCAGGGCCTGGGGTCCGCAGCCTTGGGGCTCCATCTCGACCTCCTGTCTCATACCCACGCTTGGAGATGACAACCCAGAGACAGAGTGGGCAATGCCTAAACACGCCTATGACTGAGGCTTCTCCCCAGCCCTGCACTGCCTGGAGGAGGTGGCCTCTGTGAACCTGGGAACCAAGCTCAGATGACTTCAGGTGTCCGAGGTGGGAGCATCCTGTCCACCTAGGGCAAAATTCAAACCAGAACCTCCACCTGAGCTCAGGGATGCTGGCCAGACAGTCTTGATGAGAACAGTCTGCCTCTGTCCTCACCGGGGACGAGGGACATGTCCATCCCCTCTGGGGCGCTGTGGGCGGCTCTGTGGGAGGCTGGCCCACTCTGGCCACGCGTCCGAGGGGTGGACACGCCCAGACTGCCCAGCCCTGAGACCCGCCTCCTGCCTGATGCTCCTCCTGGCCAGGTGGGAACCCTGAGCGGACACAGGTGTGTGTGGTCACCCTCTCCCCGCCCTGGGCACCACTCACCGTCCAGGTGGCTGACTTGGCTGTACTCGACTGCTGGAAGGTCACCTCGAAGTGGTGGGGGCCAGGGTAGTCGGTGTTCGAGGGGATGACGGGCGCGGGAGACATGGTGTCGAAGGTGGAGCTGGGCTGCGCGTAGGGTGAGTGGGTGGGCACACTGGCGGTGTGCTCCGGGGTGTAGGGGCTGGCCGAGGCCGCGCGGCTGCTCATCTGGTCCATGGGGCTGCTCAGCAAATTGAACTGGGACTGGCGGGAAGGGGAGGAGGGAGGGGGAGACACACAGTCAGGCTGGAGAGTGGAAGCCATCCCGTCTGGGGAGGTGTCCTGTTACAGGAGCCTTAAAGGGCCAGCGGCTCAGTCATCCCAAATATTTCCTCGGTGCCCCCCCCCCACCCCTGACAGGTCACTACTTGTGTTGGGATAAACTGACATATTCACCTCGCCCTCCTCTCCATCAGCCTCCCGGGTGCCAGGTCTCCTGGGGCTCTGCTGAGCGCACCTGGAGGGAGCTGCCTGTGGGGGCGGCTCCCAGGGCTGATGCCCTGGCTGCACTCTCTGGGGGCAGTACCTGGCTCAGCATCCTCATTTCTTGCCACCCCAACCCCCCCATCCCTTCAATTAAAAGCGGGGAGACCTTGCCCTAGGGAACAAGGCAGAAAGAGTGTGCCCCAGGGTGCAGGGGGCTCACTCCAGGCTCCATCCAATGCAGGGGCTGCCCAAGAGGCTCTGGGGGTCCAGCCCTGAACAGTTGGGGGCTGGACGGTGGCTGAGCCAAGAGTCACTTTCGAAGGGCCCCTACAGGTGGCCTCCATCCATCGGCATCTGAATGGCCCCCCGAGGTTCCCCCTGCTAGCATCTTCCACACCCTCCGCACAGAGAAGTGACAGGAACTCAGCCTCACTGTGTGGGCATGTCCCCTGGGTCACCCTCTGCGGGGTCCTGACCATCAGTCCCTGCCAGGAGCTTAAGGGAGACCCGAGCAAAGGGAGCGGGTGCCAGCCCATGCTTCAGTGCCTTGAGGGCAAGGCAGGGCAGAGGCCCCCAGGAGGGCTGGCACAGAAGAGCCCCCCCTCCTGATCAGGAGGTTTCAAGCAGGAGGTGGTTCAGAGGGTGACACAGTAGCTGACAGGGACCAGACCGGCTCTAACCGTGAATGCTAACCCGCTCCTTCTCTGCACCAGCTGCTCTCCGCGGAGCTGTTCCTCCTCACCACCTGGGGTGGGCACTGCCGCCCCTACCTGTGGATGAGGAGACTGAGGCGGGAGAGTGGCTGATAACCTGGGGACGGTGAACTGGGGGACTTGCGTCTGGCGGGCAGAGCCTGGAGTCCCCCTAGCGGGGTGAGGGTTAGGGGTGGGGGGAGGACGGGACAGTGGGAGGAGGGAGCAGGACCAGACAGGAGGGGAGGCGAGAGGACCGGACAGCCGGAGAGGGGCCCTCCTGCTCTGTCCTCTTCTCCATAGTGAAAAATAAAAGAGCAAGTTCCTCCCACGGATGATCAGGAGAAACTCCGCCCTGGGGCAACCCATGCTCAGCACCCCTCTGTACATAAGGAGGCTGGGGCTCCATAACCCAGCATCTCCTCCCGCTCAGTACTCCGCTGGGGCACGCATTCCCTGGGGCCCCTCCCAGCCTGGGGAGGTGACACCTCCCCTGAGGTCTGCCCAGCCAGGAGGCAGCCCGGCTTGGGTGATCTTGGAGCAGGGAAGTGACCGGTGACGGACAGCAGGTGGCTGGTTCTTAGCAAAGCCACTGCTCCCCGCTCCTCGCGCCCACTGTGCCTCCCCGAGGTGGGTGCCCCGGTCTCGAGGGCCAACTGCCACCCAGTGCAGATCGTTTGGCAGCGGGGCAGAGCCCCCAGGCCCACCTGTGCCCTCCCCATCAGGGACAGCCAGACTAGGTGAGGCCATCAGGGCACCAGCATGACGCCCTGGCCGGAACTGCCATTGAACAGACCCCTTGAGCGGATCCGTTTTCTATTTGAACCTCCAGGGCCATTCCCTGCCCCCAGGAAAGCTGAGGCTCCACCACCAGTGGGACAGGGAGCCCTGCAGGGCAGACCCCACTTCACTCTCCCACTGAACCTCCCTCCCTGGTCGGTGCAGCACCCCCACCCTGCCACAGCATTCCTAACCTCTGTGCCTACACCTGTAAGAGGAAGGGGGCCCGGTGCCCACTGCACACCTTGCAGGTGGATAAGCAAACCACCGAGTCCGTGTGATGGAACGTTATTCCGAGCTACTGATGCCACAGCCCGGAGGAGAAACACACCACGCGAAGGCGCAGACTCAAAAGCTCAGACATCTCTCTCTGTTGACTTGACAGTCCAGGGGCGGCAGACCCGGGGGAGAGACACAGCAAGGGGGCGGCCAGGGCTCAGGTGCAGGTTCCCTTCTGAGACTATGAAAATGTGCTAAAACGGACTGTGGTGATGGGTCCACATGTCTGTGCATTTTCTAACTGAAGTATAGTTGCTATCTGATGTGTGAATTTCTGCTGTACAATAAAGTGACTCAGTTATACACATCTATACATTCTTTTTCGTATTTTTTTCCATTCTGGTTTATCACAGGATGTTAAATATGGCTCCCTGTGCATATAGTAGGGCCTTGTTGTTTACCCACTCTGTATATAATAGCTTGCATCTGCTAACCCCAAACTCTCAATCCTTCCATCCTTTACCCTTCTCCCTCTTGGCAACTCTAAGTCTGTTCTCTCCGTCTGTGAGTCTGTTTTGTGAATATATTTAAAAAACACTGAACGGCATACTTCAAACTACATACTGCAAACACCGAACTGCACGCAGCTGAGCTGTGGGGTAAGTAAATTGTAACTCAGTAAAGCTACTGAAAACAAAACAACAAGGGACCCTGTGGATCCTCACCTCTCCTGAGCCCAGGTTGCTCTGGGGATGGGGGGATTGACAGCCACCCCCTCCCGAGGGCCCGCCTGGGGAGTGCTCTCACACCCCCTTGCTCCAGGAGAGCACTGTTCTGTGCCCCCCTGGTTTATGCCTCCCCACTGGACTCCAGACCCCACAAGGACAGACCTTGTCTCACGGGCATCAATGTATCCCCACGTGGACACAGGAAATGCAGCCGGTGTGAACTGAGTTGTGCTGGAGAACCAACTCCAAGGACTGAGCGCCAATGAAAAGAATAAAGTAAAATATCTCATTCACAGTTTTATATTGATGGTATGCTGAAATGAGCATAGTTTGGGATAAGTAAAATACATTCTTGAGTTACTTCCATTGTTTCTTTTCACCATTTTTAATGTGGTTACCAGAAAATGCAACATTATATATGTGGTTTGCATGCCGTTTCTCCTGGACATTAGGCACCAGACAGGATCCTCAATCAGTAGCTGATGAGGGGCTGGAATTATTGTTATTACTATTAATGATGAGGGACTCACAGCTGGAATTATTGTTATTACTATTATTACTATTAATTATCAGCACACCCGTTAGGGGTGTAGTTCATTTCTCTTTATGGTGTGGTTACTCAAGAGGGTTCCTCCCCTCAAGAAAGAGGGTTGCTGCACAAGACAGTGAGCAGGCACAGGGACGAAGAGATAGATGGATGGATGGATGGAAGAAGTGGTTACTCAAGAGGGTTCCTCCCCTCAAGAAAGAGGGTTGCTGCACAAGACAGTGAGCAGGCACAGGGATGAAGAGATAGATGGATGGATGGATGGAAGAATGGAGGGAGGAATGATGAAGGGAGGGATGGGTGGGTGGATGGATGGATATAGGGAGGGAGGAATGGAGGGAGGGGTAGAGGGATGGATGGATAATTAAAGGAGTGGAGGGATGGAGGGATGGATGGATGGGGGAGGGAGGGATAGAGGGATGCAGGGATGGATGGATGTGTGGATGGATGGATAGAGGGAGGGAGGAATGGAGGGAGGGGTAGAGGGATGGATGGATGAGTAGTTGAAGGAGTGGAGGGATGGAGGGATGGATGGAGGGGTCAGGGGGCAGCAGGAGCCCCTCCCACCATACGGATGCCCAGGAATGAGTACAGGATGTGAGCCTGCTCCCCCATCACAGGAGGCTGAGAGCCCTGTGGGTCCTGGGGGGAGGAGTCCCAGCCTGCCCTCACTGTTTTTCTTGTCTAGGTGGTAAGCATGGCCCCTCTGGAGGATCTTCCTGTCCCTCCACTGAAGGCTGCAGGGAGCCTTCCTCATCTTGGCTGCAGAAGCGTCCTATGTCCTGAGCAAGGATGGCCCAAGCCAGGGGTCTCAGGTCCATCCTCCCTGCTCCATCCCTAACAGGAAGATGGCCCACACCAGCAGGGCAAACAGCGCTTGCCTCCCAGTTCAGGAGAGGCGGGAGGCCGCCCCACGACAACGTGTTCAGATTTTAACTTGTCCACATTCTTTTCAGATCTGAGGCGGGTGCCAGGGAATTAGTCATTGAACCAAAAGGAGCCGGGCCGATAGGATCTACACGCCCAGCAGCCACAAAGCAGGGAGGGGGACGACTTCCAGCAGGCTGGCCCCTGTGCGGGAGACCTTAATGAGATGTGGGACCGCTGAGTCCAGAGAGGGTCCTGCCCCCTCTGCAGGCCCTCCTCTTGCTCCAACCTAGGTTCAGGGGCTTCCTGTGGTCTGGGGTCCTGGGAAGCCCCACCCGCCTGCCTGGGAGCCTGAGGACAGTGGCCCTGTGCTGGGTCCGGCTCCCAGGGGCAGATGCTGTCCCTGGGGACATTGGGGCTGCCCCTTCCTCCCTCGTGCTTCCCCAGGGACACCCTGCCCACACCCTGGAGCCGGCTCTCCCTGCGGCTTTTCCACGAGGCTTTGAGCACTGCTGGAACCCGCAGATTAGAAGTGAGGCACCTCCGCCCTGAAGGGCCCTTTCTTTCCTGCCCTCAGGAAACTTCGCATTTCCTTCCTCCTGACAGGAGCCTTGCTGGGGACCCCCGCCCCCCAGACCCAGCTGCTAAACAGAAGCCTGGACCTGGGGGGAGGAAGGGGAGGCCAGTGTGGTGCCTGAGGTCCAGGGTGGTGCACCCACCAGAGCTTGTGGGGGAGGGGAGGTTCTCCAGAACCAGAGGCCCCCTGGAAGCTGAGACGAGACCCACTTGGCAGCAGTGAGGAACTTGGGCAAAACCAGGACTTTTTTGGTTTGTTTTGCTTTCAATAAGAACTCCCAAGAGAGTGGGCTGATCGGGACACGCCTGGCCCGCGGCGGCCCACAAGTGCCTACATGCGCGTGCAAGGCTCTGGGACCGACCCAAAGA